TTTTGCATGGAGATTACTGGTTGAAAGACCTGGATTCTATGAGAAACTTTCAAACGAGTATTTTAAAACAATCTCTATACAGTTTACGCACTTTTATCGTAATCTGATTTCAAGTGTCTGTTCTCATCCTGATTTATGACACGGCCTGGTTCTTTTTACCACTTTAGTAAACGCGATCCGATTTCCAGCCATTTCCATTTTTCGTGCCAAGAATTTTTTACTTCGCTACGTGGAAGCTGATGCAAACATTTGGACATTTTTATTCAACCCTTAACTACGATCGTTAAACTTTTAGTGCTAAAACATAGTCGTGCGGTTCTAAAAATCTCCCTGAAAAAAGGGTTATGAAACGTACGAAACAATTCCATAATTTTTCTGGTGCTCGATTTTAAACATATATATTATTGAATTAATAATTAAACTTTTAGATTCGATATTGGAATAAATTTTTCAATTTACGTTCAACGTCTGTTTTAAGGTGAAATATAGTTTATATAATATAGTTACGACATTGCGTCACATATTTATAAATTATATTACCTTATGGGTTGTAAAGCTACCTGTTACGCGGCCCACATATTACATCAAACTCCGCAAAATTCGATTTCGTTGCGTAACACATCAACTGTCATACCTTCGAACGTGATAGCCGACCACATGCTTAACATCGTGGCAACGTTGAAAGCACATACGATAAATGACGTTAGTTACTAATTCCAACTATTTATCAACGCGGTTTAATTTGGGCGGCGATCCGAACAAGGCAGACCCTCCTCTACATATGTACGTATATATTTCGCGGTTATTTACGGGCTATTTACTACAATATTGAAATAATTTACTGTACGATAGAAGCAAAACAGTCTCCAATCAAGCACGCGATTTATCGCAGGATATGTACAGCGTATGGTGTACGAGCACATTTGAAAATTACGGACGCTAACACGGTCATTTGAACCTAGGTGACCGCCATATATGAAAATCAAAAGCGGACTGAAATTTAGGGGAGACACTGAAAAATATCGCTCGTCGAAGTTAAATGATTTTGAGAAAGGCGAGGGAAATATTAGAGATTGTCCCAAATATTAATTTCTCTTTTACCGCCGATATTTATCAACGAAATTTCATACAAAAATACGATATTTCGTGTAGGTGGTGCACGTTGCTCAAGATTAATAATGCACGTTTCAGAAACTTGTCATTAAAAAAACTTCCGTTTAAAGTAATAGCTTTTTTCCACGAAGTTGAAAATCCAAGCCGCCGTGTACGGTCTAATGAAAAAAGTTTCGAAGCCTTTGATTCGGGGAAACGGCATTAGCATCGACAACGCGGACGCGACACATACGAGAGACGTACGCCAATTTCATCCCCCTATCTCCGCCCTTTAGGAATCCATACTTATTAAAATCGTGACCAGATATCCGAACTGCAAATCCGACGGTAATAAATCGGTCGGGAATCCGAATCAAACTGAAATCCGACTCAGCTTATCTGGCAAGAAACTCTGATCGTCTAGTGCTAAGTTATTTATCGATATAATCAAGAATATTATATTCGAACCTATTATATTGCATCTTGCATCTTTCGCGAACAGCTAACTGAATTTATATAGAAAAGATTTTCTTCCAGAACTGATGAATAAATATTATTCTTTGAATATATTTGGACAGCAGTTAAATTGAAGTTGTAACAATGAAAAAATGCTGTTTTCTTTGGAAGGAGGAAGAATCCCAGACGAAGTAATTTTCAAAACATTTGCAATGAAAGTTCCTGGCAATTGTCTACGAAACAAGCTTACTTTCTTGCACAGACATTCCGTGTAATAAGTTCAAATTGCAACCATCTACGTAAATGAGACTAGATGGTAGGTACACACGGTGTTTCAGGAATCGTAGTACAACCAGAAGGGTTCGTGTAAAAACAAGTCGAAGGTATATTGTACAGTAAAATGTATTGTACAATTTGTCGTGGATAATGATTTGAGCAAACTACTAAAAATTATCATAAAAAGTAACTGTGTTCACTCGAATTTAATATTCAATTTTTCAATCGAATCCTTGATTGTTCAAACCGAAATAATATTTATTCTCGGCGAGTAAAAATAAAAATTGGTCCTGAGATTCGGTATGTTTAACTTTCCCGAAATTCCAAAGGATTTCCAAATACTGGATCGATCGATGTTTTAGTCGATATAATCAGAAACTCGCGAGCATCAAGAAGCTTTCGTTTCGCCTGGCGAGGATTCGTGCAATACAGAAATGTTTCCCCTGCAGGGGATATAAACTCAAACGACTTCCATTCCCGTTTTTTTTTACTCGCTGTCCAGTGCCTTCGGTCACGGTCTTCATTCTTACTGCCACTACGCAACATAACTTACATTGTGGAAGCTCGAACGTCGGGAGACCGTGAATAGCTACGGAGATAAGTCACGAGCGCGCACATCGGAGTAAACTGCTCCCAGAGGTTTCGCGGGATAAGAGAAGAACGAATACGAATGTCGTACGGCCGGACGAAAATTGAAAACGAAGAAAGGTGACAAAGGAGTTAATATCTCTTTACTATATCCGAGAAACGGAGAAACGGTGTTAAAAACAGATCTGCCTTTTTGTACGACGAATCGCGTTACAGATCCGACCCTAAGCGACTCTAAGTGTTTTCTCCCTTCTTAAAAACAAAACTGTTGTAATGGAACCCCGATTCATTCAATAATCGAGATTTTAGCCTGCTGATTTTTTGCTTTTTAAATCTAGGAAGCCAAGAAGACGCTAATAAAATAAATTGGACGCCAACAAGTGGTATTAAAATTAAAAACAAAATTGAAACAGCTACTCCTTGCACAAAATGTCCATATAAAAATTTTCTCGCGAGAATACAAGGAAAGTATATTTATATTTATTTGGTATACGAACGTGCTCGATGATTATTTTGCAATTTAGCTACAAAAGTGCATGTAATCGTTTACTATCGAAATCTGATATAAACTTACGCGATGAAAATATTTATTTGCATAAAAAACATACTTTGGACGAGACATTAATATTCTGAACGCGCTATGGGGGGGGTTATATAGGCCAGCATCGCGTGTTTGAACAAAAAACACGTTTGACGGTTTGTACCCCGAGGGTGTCACTTTCCACGTCATTTGACAGCGATACAAATACCTCGTTAAATTCCTTCCACCGTGTGTAATTTTCCGCGTATAACAATTCCAGTGTTCAAAGTAATAAATTTACACTGGATTCGAATAAAGGAAATATCCTCCCCCCAACTGTTCGTGTTTATGTACCGTAAGCAACCCTTCCTCGAATTTCTCTTCGAAAATTGTAGGAAGAATTTATGATCAGACTATTCAGTAATATTTCTAATAAAGAAACAAAAGGAAAAAATTTGTACTACTGCAGGTAAATACAGCTACATGTTTGGAAAGATGAATTCACGAAAATTATTTAATACATTCGATACAACTACTTGTTATAAAATGAAATAGCAACGTGAAAATAAAAATAACAAAATTCCAATTTCCTGCACTGAACTGTAAATCCTGACGCGGAACGCAAATTCTGAAGCCGGATGCGGAATCAGCGCCCAAAATTACATGGGAAACCATTTCTAATTCTCAAGCACCAAAGCCACATAGATCTGCGTAATTTGCATACGTAACTCCGCGTTACACTTAACCCTTTGCAAGCGGATATTTTGAAACACGAACGCCGAACGGGATTCGGCGGTTTTGGAGCAAATAGCAAGAAATTATTGCGTATCTACAATTCAATTCATGCAACATATATTGCAGCTACGAGTTTGTTTGCCAATACGAAACGGTCAACTAAATTAAATGCGTATGTACTTTAATTTAAAGAACGAGTAGAAATGTATATTGCACCAAACAAACAAATTAAGTCACCTATCATTTTCCAGAATCACCGTACAGTATTCTGAGCAACCAAAATAAATTTCACCGGGAAGAGAACAGTTGTGATCGAACGAAATGAATTTCATTCGTAAATTACTATCACGAGCGACCTAAATTAATGATTACCGGTAACGAAATAAATTCTCGATCGTCTACAACCGTTATTTGTTACTGAAAACACTACAGCCGAGGGAATGTTATCTTATAAAATTTTTATTCCGATTATAAAAATTGGAGCTCCTGGAATTAACGCGAAAGTTAATGTCGATTATAGTGCCCTCCTGATATTATTCATCAGAACCACTATTACGAAGGATATCGACTGAACATGAAGTTCGACGTGCATCGCTGGACGCGGAACCGCTACGCACATTTTCCACATGGGATGGAAAATGTCGGAAATTGCACTCGCAGCGAACGAGGTGTGTAATTTACAGCAGCCGGAGAGAGGAGGCTACTGTAACAGAGACGCTCCTACGAGCTCAGCCTCGATGGCCTTGGATTTCCAACTTGAGGATCTACGCCTACAGCGACACAAGTAGCGCTTGGAGAAGCGAGAAAAGAAGGAAATGTGTTTTCAAAGCCTCCTGGCTCATCCAGAAAACAAAGGAAGTTTTTTCGCAGGTCGAAAAGCGAATACGGTAAAAGATGCGTTGCTCTCCCTCGCTATTATGAACGACTAATTGCCTGCCGAGTAATGAATCCCATCCTGTCATTCCGCCTAAGAACCGATGTATATTGATCGCGATGAATTTTTAATCGAAACGTACACGAGTTTCCAACGAAATTACATCGCGGTTCATTTTTCGAAGTATCACGAAGGAAAAGAAAATTTCATCGCGGCGAATGTTAAAAGAACTGATACGATTCGTGAATCTGTGACGGCTGTAGTGCACTAAAAATCAAAAGAAATATGTATTAACAAAATCAAAATGATAGATAAATTTAAATAATACTTCTGTTGCATGCTTCAAATTGCATTGTAGTGTATGTCTTTTGTACGATGATAAAAATGAAGCGAAATTATTTGATTCGATGGTGAGAAGAAACAAAGTTATAATATTTCGTCTATAAAAATGTGACTCACCTATAGGATGTCACCAGTACTGGCAGCTCTCGTGGTTCTTGTCAATGGTCCCAACTGCCTGTTTTGATCGGGCCGAGGCTTGCAATATATAATTTTCCGAAAAGCTTTCCGAAAACTATCGCTGAGGAAGGCGTAGAGTATAGGATTGACACAGCTGTTCGTGTACGCCAGGATGTGGCTGGCAATTTGCACCATTATCGTCGCCGTTGTCAGCGGATAAACAGTTAGTGACTTTGTTACCAGGATTACCTTTTGCAAGAAAGGGAACACATAGAAAATCTTAGATTTCGCAACGCTCAAACGCATGAAGCTAATAATAAAGTAAACTTGAAAGCTTTTGAATTCGAATGAACAATGATTAAAAAATACAATGAAAATTTCAGGAAACGCAAATGAAGTTTAGTAAAGTAAAAAGAAAGTAGAGAATTAGTCGTCATTCGATAATGACTATTCCCCACGAGACACGCCGAATTACCGAATTTCTCCGCACAATTTCCTTTCACGATTTATCTCCTACCTCCATTAGCGCGAACAGCGTTGCAGTTAATTGCATTACGGTCGTAACGGTCGTATAGTTTTCCCTCGGACTGTCTTTCTCAAAGTGTCACTCGAAACACACAAACCTATTCCTACGTGGCATGTCTCGATTGGCGCCACAACGACTTGCGTGACAGCGGAACCGTGAATTCACGAACAGATTATCGTATATCAATGAGTATACAAATTATTTTCGCGCTCGAACGGACTCTATCTTCCGTCGGAACAAAGTAGAAAAGTAACCGAGACGTTAGGACGCGGGAATTAAATTTAAAACGCATAGTTACGAACACTCGTCAGAAGATGAATTGTGATAATTAAAACTATTGTTAAAGATTAATTGATTGACACGAATTTCGAGACTTTGTCATCGCTTCTTATAGAAATTGGAGCAATGCTAACCTGTATGGGACACCAACAAAATGCAAAAACGCCAACGACGACGAGCACCAGCCTTGTGACGCGTCTTCTTCCGCGTCGACTCTCGGCGCTGACGCGAGCGGCTCGCCAGAGTCTGACGAGCATACAAATGTAAAAGAAGCATATCAGCATCAGCGGCAGCAAGTAGCTCATCAGGAAAAACGATATTTGAAAGAACGGCCAATCATATTGTGGCAGGATTCGACAAGCCGTCAGGTTCTCCGACGACGTGCCGTCCATGTCCTGAAATTAAGATGAGTCTGCATTTACAGGGTGTTCGGCCACCCCTGAAAAAAAATTTTATTGACAGATTCCAGAGGCCAAAATAAAACGAAAATCAAGAATACCAATTTCTTGATCGAGGTCTCGTTAAAAAGTTACTAACAAAATTACAGTTAAAAATTTTTAATAAAATTTGTCCACCTACATGAATTTTTTTCTTGAAACTGAGTAGGATTTCGGGGGTATGCCTATTGACCGAAAATGATTTTAACTGACTCCTGCAACTGAAAATATTTTTTCCAGAACGATTTGAAATTTCTTAATTTCGACGACTTTGTCAACCTTCTTGAATTTTTTTCTTGAAACTGAGTAGGATTTTGGGGATATGTCTGTTGACCGAAAGTGATTTTAATTGACTCCTGCAACTGAAAATATTTTTTCCAGAACGATTTGAAATTTTTTAATTTCGACGACTTTGTCAACCTTCTTGAATTTTTTTCTTGAAACTGAGTAGGATTTTGGGGATATGTCTGTTGACCGAAAGTGATTTTAATTGACTCCTGCAACTGAAAATATTTTTTCCAGAACGATTTGAAATTTTTTAATTTCGACGACTTTGTCAACCTTCTTGAATTTTTTTCTTGAAACTGAGTAGGATTTTGGGGATATGTCTGTTGACCGAAAGTGATTTTAATTGACTCCTGCAACTGAAAATATTTTTTCCAGAACGATTTGAAATTTTTTAATTTCGACGACTTTGTCAACATTCTTGAATTTTTTTCTTGAAACTGAGTAGGATTTCGGGGGTATGTCTGTTGACCGAAAATGATTTTAATTGACTCCTGCAACTAAAAATATTTTTTCCAGAACGATTAGAAATTTTTTAATTTCATCGAAAAATTTGTCAACTTTGAATTTTTTTCTCGAAAATGCGTAGAATTTCGAGGGTGTCTTTATTCACCAAAAATGATTGCAATTGACTGAATGTAGAATCTCTCATTAAAATTTTTCCCAGTGGTGGCCGAGAACGCTTCGTTTCGTTAAAAAATAAACAACACATGAATGTCTACTATTTAAGAAATAAACGTTTGTTTTATCAATCGAGACAACATGTAAAATTGTATCGTGCAAAAGTTTTGGGACAGTTGCCCTTGTAAGTTAGCCTTAGCTAGCAATTACGATGGTTTTTAAACTATAACGCGGTTGCATCGCTTGAATAATGTTGAAAAGTTCTTAAACTTCAAGCTGCTGTAACTTTGTTGAAATTTGTCTAAAACTGTTGCGACAGAAACTAAATTAAGTTTCAACTTCCTACTCGTTGTTCCCTTTAGCCGCTTTCATTTAAGTCGATATGCCCAGCCAGGAAAATCTCCTTTTGTTTTCGTGAAAATTGTGTTTTTCTTTTTTGTAAAATGTAGGGTTTGAAATGGATTTCTTAATGAATTACACGAATGGTATTTAGGAAGCATGTAGACCAGCATTTAGTGTGAACAAGTATGTAGAAAGAGACAGATTCTGTGACATGTGTTGCAAAGTACCAACCTGCCACCATGACGCAGCGATCTGATCCTGATGGCTTATTGAAAATGATTTTTTTATCGCCGTAAGAGTGGATACCGACCAGCTGATTCATGCAGAAAAGCAATATTATACTACAATATGTGGCCAAGAATTTACAAGTTTCATGACATGATTTGATAGCGTAATAATGTAAAACTGAATGTAAAAATTCTATTTCCAAAGTACTTCAACGCTTTGACATTAATAAATGATCCAATCGCTATTGTGCTTTGCATCGTGAATGCTTGTTTTCGACTAACCGGACCGCCTATTTTCAAAGTAGATATCTCTATACTAATCATATCTACCGAGTTAATTGTTTTATGCTCCACACACGTTTGTCGAAGCTTTAGTTCCATGTAGCTCCAAACATTTTCGATTTGATTCACCTCTGATAGCTGGAATGACCAATCCAACGCTTCAATGCTATTTTCTGTTTTCATTTGTATGCAGGACTCTTGTATTTGGAACCATTGTCCTCGTGTAACAACTAATTTGCGTCATTTTTGTTTATACCACCTTTTCAGACGTGAAATGAGCTCTCTCAAATTACCCGCGAGGATGAATAATATTTTGAATGTTTGTTCCAATCGTTCTTGAAACCAATCTGTTGGTGATTGATGACCAGGAATATTGAATTATAAAGCATGACCAAAAAGAAGATTCATTTGAATAGACGACATTTTTCTATTGTTAACGTTTTCAAATGCTTTCACGTGATAAATCTACACACTTTCTTTTCAATTTTTCCTACCATTCGCGCAAATATACTTGAAACCTTTTTACGTTACCACAAGTGTATCGAATAAGTGTTTTTTAAGTGATAATTCCAAATTTTGCCATGTTGATACTGTGATTAGATCGAATTATATCTTCTACGAACTTATTAGATACAAAGTACGAATTTGAATCTTTGATTAATACGTCAAATTCGACGTATTACGAGCGTGAAACTAAATTATAATACAATACGTACCATGATCATTAAGTGATCGTAGGTAGAAATGATTGCCTAATTCGAGTGTGCTCGTTAGGACAATCTCGGATAATCGTATAATAACCAATGAGCGCTATATTTAGAGATATTCGATGATATTTACACAAAACGCGTATATGCACAGCTACATGAACGTTCATATTTGTTCCATTATTAACAATCGTGTGTTCAGAATGCGTACCAATTATGAATATAGTAATCAATTTGACAGTGAGTCAAGTCCAAATAATATTAATCAACGTCTGTATTTTATACTTCGGTGTAAAACCAATGGAAATATTTTTTATAAGACACGACAATTCGAATTGCTTTAAAAAATTTATCTCATTGACTATGTCCAAACTATTCTATACTTTACAAACTGAGTGTTCGAACACATCACAAAAGCTACGGTAATGAAGGAAAAATCTGGAAAAATAATTTCTAAGCAAAGTACTGTTCAAGCGTTCATTTAAAAGTGTTACAATTACCTGTAGAATTGATAAATGCAAAACCGTCGCGATATAACAGCACCACATTTACAGAGTTTTATTTTTAATAGAAATGAACTTTTCTGCTCGTTGTTTTTTTTTTTGTTTATACAGCGAGTATGATTTTGTTTAGAAGTGAAACGAAATTAGATCCGTATTTGACGTGTTAATATTTATCTATGTGTATCATACGAAATATCAGTGAGCTAAGTGGCGTAAATTTTATTTCACCAGGTTTCCTCAAGTTGAAGGAACAAAAAGGATTCCGAGCAGTTCGCTTTTTGGTAATCGAGTTCCGAATCATTTTATGGTGCCGAAATCCACTCGTTGAAAGTATCAATGCAATCGATAACGAATAACCGAATTGAAAGAGTCAATCAAAAGGACTAGGCATACGAGTCGGACGGAATTTTTCGCGTTCGTGCGATGTAGTCAGGCAAACCGAAGTGCACCGGGCGAAAAAAAGAACTGGAAATACCCTGTCCCGAGCATTAAATCCAATCCCAGTTGTTCAATAACAGAAGAAAGGTAAAAATTGAAGTCGCGGTACGTGCAATAAAATAGTGATTAATTAAAGAGTGTCGGCGCTCTGACTGCAAAATGAATTGTTGAAGTATCGATTCGGTAGGGCGAACCGCGACAACTGTTGTAAATTGTTTTTTTCAGAAATCGCTGGCGGTGTCGACAAGATTTCCTCTTTTTTTAATATCCTAAATCAAAGCCGATGAAGGCTTTTGGATGAGTTATCGTCGAGTGTACCTCGATTTTTTTCAAATGAAATTTCATATACATTTTTAATGTAGATTTCAGATATCTTTCGGAAAATAAAGAGCAACGAAACAAAATAATAATCTCGATCTACCGTGGGTCAGTCACAATTCATGGATCACACAAAACTTATGTGTGTCGTTCGGAACTTATTGTACGTCAATCGAACCTTATCATTGGTAATTAATCGTGTCCGTGTGTAGTTTACTGTGGGTCACTCGAAACTTATCGTGACTTATACAGAATTTATCGTGGGACGATCGAAACTTACGCGTGTCATTTGAAACGTATGAACCCTTCGTAATTTATAGTAGGCTATTTACAATTAAGCCTATATTGCTTACGATTCATTCCCCCACTCTTGCAATACAAGAGAAAATTTTTTTTTGGTACCCCTCGAGATACTAAGTTAGACACATTATAAATAATTCTATGTTTTGGTCTTCTAAGAACATAGATTAAAGCAATTAATAAATCTAAAACATTCATGTGTTGTTTATTCATTAACCTCGATGATACAATAAAATTGTTAAAGGATACAAGCATGAAATTCCATATATGATATTCCATGCAGTTATCACGAGGGAAATTAAGTATTCATCATTCATAAATGACTTACCTCGCCATGAACAATGAGGGCAGGGGTTGAGATTGTGAAGATCATCGCCCAAGCGATGCAAATAGCAAGGATCGCGTGATTTTCGGTTCTCCATGACCTCGATGTGACCGGATGAACCACTGCCAAATATCTGAATCAATTAAAATGCAACAAACGTGTCATGATCGATCGATTACTGGATTTCGAAAGTATGTGCTATTTCAACTGTGATCTTAATAACGCGTTAGAACAAATAAAACTGATATGATTCAATGCTCGTGAAGATGAATACCAACGTTCAAAGTCGTCTTCGAAAATAAACACCGTTGCAGAAGTTGCATACATTTTATTTGCATTCATAACTTGGCTACACGAAACAGTAAAATCCACTAAAACTCGTTAAAAGACTACCGTTTCTTTTTTACGACGATAATTCAGTCGCACGTCCAAGTACTTTTAAAGATTAACCTCTTTTTATTCCACGTACACCAACGAAAAAAGAAAACAGATGTCCTCGCTTATTAGGTTAAAATAAAGTCGTCTAAACAGTAGTCTATTTCAGTTTATCGTTAGTATAGCGGTAGAAATTGAAGCACGTAAAATAATTAGAAGAAAGAGTTTGAACATTTAAACTTGTCATGTGAAAATTGTAATTTGTGAAACGTCGTACTCTGAGCTATGAACAAACATGTCCATTTTGAAAACAGATTAGGTATCCTGTACGAAGGAAAATAAATGAACAATCATTCATGCTAATTGAGTTGGATATCAGCCAACGAATTAAATGATACAGGCTACCGGGGAACACACAGGTAACCCAGTTGTTAATTACAAGCTTCAAGCAGAAAAACTAATACTGAAATTGCATAAAATTTAAAAAGTTGAGCTTGCAATTACAAAACTTTTAAGTACGTTTAAGTCACAACATTCATCTCCAATTCTTATCAAATTTTCAGCGAATATATTTAATAAAATTTACGTTCTCTAAATTTCATTTACAGGTAGAAATATGTGGCTTTGGAACAGGACTTTCAGCATTTTCAGTTTCCATTTAAAATTATTTTTTTTCTCGCAGAAAATTCAGATCAATTTATCGGTAATCCTCGTGTTGCTTTACGTAGAACTGTTTTACATAACTACCGTGACCTTGGAATCCGTTGCTTGCAGCTCAGAGGGGAAATATTGGTGCAACGATCATCGAGGACGGTAAAACGCGATGAAATAAAAAAGCACGGAATGCAACGCGACGTGAAGGAAATTCTGATACGGACTGGAAAATGAGCGAATCGCACGTTTCACGAGGGAATCAAGATTCTTTCGTGTGTCTGACATTTCCAGGCGCGGCGCGTGATTCTCCAGCCGGTGTTACTGTGCCATACGGTACATGGAAATGTAACCGGAAATACCGCTGATATTTATGGGCCAAGAATGGATTACATTTTCACGCGTTACGGTCGAGAATCGAATTTTCCTGCGCGACACCCTTCGCTACAGAGTACATGCCAACAGACTGCACGCGATCAACCGCCGAATACAAAATCAAGTACACGATTTACTTACAAAGATACTGTAAGTCGGGTGAATTTCAAATTTGTTGACAGTCCTCTAGAAATGGTAAAAGATTTTTTGCCCCCAAAATACGTGGCAGGTTTCAAACGATGGAAGAAAAATATACTCAAAAATCTCAATGGTTTTCCAGCCCATAAACTCAACAACTCTGGCTACTAAACACACGATACTTGAAATTATGAGCGACGAGAAATGAATTTATGACGATCAGATCTGGTTAACTTGATACTTTTATTACGAAATAAAACAAAAAGATTCAAATCTTTAAATTATTTAGAGACGAATATCGTGCAGTTTATGATCAGACGTGGAAAGTAAAAATTAATATTTCGTAAAACTTGCTCACCTGTCGAGGCTCATGAGGACCAAAGTGTAAACACTGGCATAGGCGGTGACGATGATAAGATACTGGACGATCTTGCACCAGATGTTGCCAAAGGGCCAGAAAGGCAACACGAAGTCGGTAGCGGTGAATGGAATACAAAATATAACGAACAGCAGATCGGCCACGGCTAAATTGATGATTAGGATGTTCGTCGTCGATCTCATTCCAGGGTTTGCTGCCACGACGGTGACCACCAGGCAATTACCGACGAATCCAAGGATACCGATCATGCCAAAGAATATCGGTACCACCACCACCACGATCCTTTCCACTTGTTGACGATCGAAAGTGTACTCGACGTCCTCGACGTACTTCTCTGTGTTGTTGTTGTGCATCGAATTTGAGGATTCCGTGAAATTCGTGACAACGTCGTCCCAAGTGATCTCCATCTCTTGAAGCATTATGGTATCACAGCGATTGGCAAACTAAATTGAAGCCGAATTATGGCAGAACTTCGATATTGATTATTAATCAAGTTTGCGCCGTCGAAGTCATTTTCGTTTATTTGTTAAGTACGCCTTGCTATTATTTCAAAGCTTTGATTCCGTCTATGTAGTAGTTTATGGTCTGCCATGTTACTTAAATATTTTATACGTTTGTTAAATACATTTCTGCGAGTCGAATCATTTGTCAGCCTTCTTGAATTCTTGTAGAATTTATCATACTTTCGTTAATACGCCTCCTTTTTCGAGCTCTTTGTCGTCCGCATGATTTTAAAGGAGAATTTATTTCATTTGACAGTTTCCGCGTTTCCGCAAATGTTGATTTTTCTTGTTTCTGCGAACACCAAGTTTACTTTCCTGTTCGCCGCTCGCACAACTGAAAATGAAAATATTCCTCACTTAGGGGAACGAATTATGTATGAAATAACACTTTTAACACATATATGTCACGCCAAGATCTTGCGTTGGAATTATCGAAATACAAATAGATATTTTCTGATTGAAATATTGATGAAACAACGATGAAAACGATTGTTTTCGTTAATTCCTAGGTAACGTAACATTTTATTTTTCCTTGGCCCCTAGATCACTGGGCCAATTATCCCAGTTTCAAATAACATTCAAGATCTGGCGAAACACACGAGTGTGGTAAAATCACAGCGCAATTTCGCTTAGGCTGTGGTTACACTGCAAGCAATTTCGTGCGATCTGGCGATCGTGGGATCGGAACAAATGGATTGAAGTCAATGCGAATAGTCGCATGGAATGGTCACAACGGAATGAATTGGTCGCGCGATATCGCTTGTAATGTAGGCAGGAGGATAGATCAGTCTTGATTTAAGGGAAACGTTCCGGCTTGAATAAGAGAAATGGGAACAGCGTTGTATAATTTTTGGCCAATCACAGGTCTTACGAAGATTGACTATAATGTTTACCCCGATACGATTCGCGATTCCCTCCAAAGCTAAACAACCTCTGTCCCTGGAATAATGTCTATGATCGTCGTCCATTTTACTTAAACTTGCAGAAAAGAAAAGAAAATATACTGTGTAATATAAATAAAATTCTTTTATTAACGGTAATTTCGTCTCTGATCATTTATATATTAAATATATCATATAATTGCTTTCATTACCATTAATAAGAAAATTTTATTTATATTACACAGTATATCTTATTTTCTCTTTATATATTGAATCATATATAAATGAAGGCAATTGCAGGTAGTTATTTTGACTGCATTGTTGCAAGAAATATTATTAAGTAAAATGTAATTATACTCATTAGGGACACGCGTAAATATTCAGAGTATACCATTCGAAATGACGAAATCCATCATCTGTACGGTATGCTCTTTGTTTACTAATCGCGAACGAATTGAATGCAGGGCATTTTGTTAAATAAAGTTCCTCATCAATATTCATTGTGTCGATAGACCCGGGAAATCTGTTACGTACTACTATGATTGAAACACAAAATCGTCCAACCTCGATCGTGGGTCGCTGGAACAAAGCGCCACTCGTGTATTCGAACGAAATCGCTTTCACTGTGACCATGCCCTCATGCGGCTGAATCGTTTTATTACACTCAACAATTAATTGGCAGCTTAAATTATCCGGAGGCATGCAAGATTAAGTGAAACTAAAATTAGACACCGCGAACGGAAACTACAGACACATATAATACTTATTTAAATCAACGAAAGTGCTTACAGGTACATGAAAATATAAAATAAGTATTACAAGCGTTACAAATAGAAATTTTGTATTCATCATTTGCTGATAGACGACGCTGAAACATCTGGTCTACAAAATAACTTCTAATTAACCTACTCGACGTTGGTCGTGTTCTAATCGTGTTATTTAAGTCTTGTCGGTACAAGCACGTGATGCATTAAGTAATTTAATCTACACAATCTAATGCTAACATTTCAACGCATTGAAAATGGTGATTGCTGTCTACTTATCTCAAATTGAAGCAGCCTAACGCTAAAATTGATAAAGAGAAATATACTGCAACTATATTCGTGTTAGAAATATTCCTTTCGACAGATATCTAATGCGTCACGTGTCTTACAATTTCAAATTAAATTTAATACGATTTAAAGCAACGATTCTTGCTCTTTTTGTATGACGTGAAACTGACATTTTCGTAATTCTGTTTAAATATCAAAGTAGCTTTCGTTGAACAGCTCTCCAAGGATTAATAAGTGCTTCCAGAAAAATTGAGAGCAATAGAAATTGACCCGTTTTGGGTCATGTTTGACTGGTCGTAGCGCCTTATCGAAATTCAGGTCACGTTAAGAGCACGTGCGATCCCCACTTCGACCGCCATTAAAAAAGTGCTTTATTTAACTCTAATTCTCACCCGAGCAAATGCAAATACTACAAATTCAATGTGCGTTCGCGCTTAACACACGATTAGGCAATATTATTTTAAAATCCCCCGCTAATTCCTCGCTAAGTTTTATTGCTTTTGTCGAGATACGTTACATTTAATTGGATGACGCGTTGCAGTGAAATAACAAACAATTAAAAATAGGAATTCAATTTTTCTAAAACAATAAAGCTCGAGTAACGTGATTAAATAATTTTTTTATTCAGCTTTTAAATAAACGCGACTCGAAACACTGTATTGTTTTAATTCACCGTTCGCTGAATTTTCAAATCGATTGTACCTATCTCGTTTTTGGAACGCGACAAACGTTCCTTTGGCGACAAAGAACTGAATTCCCGAAACAAAGTTTTCTCTTCACGCTGCGTTACTTTATTCCACACTGCATTTCTACAACGCGTTTTTTATATTTACGTGGTAATGCTAGGTCCAGTGGAAAAATAACGAAAACATCCCGTATTTCAATTCAGTATAGACCGATGCAAATAAAGATCTACTGCGCGGGGACATAATGTACCATACAGAACTTCTCTCGTTCAATTTACTCGCTTCTTTTCGTGCAACAAATCTCTTTGCCTCTGTCCACGACTCTTTCTTTCCCGTGTTCTTCTTCCCCTCGAATAATAATTAAATGATTCAGTCTTGACAGAATAACGGAAGTAATTTACCATCGCGAAGTTATGACTTTAAATTAGTCAAAGTTTCTACTCATCTTTCTTGCAATCGTTCACGTGGCAAGACACAAGAGCTATGGTTTTGCACGAGTTTAAAAACCATAATAAGTTCAGTGTTTTTACTTTCGACGAAACTCCAATTGTAGTTTCATTTATAATGAAATGAAGTGTTCTGTCAGAAAATTAATTATGCATTACTTGATTCCTTCCTCCTTGTTTCCTTACTTTGTTCAAATAAATCATTGAAAAGTCATTAAAATTTTCAGGTCGTTTCAAGTCTTATGTATGTAAATTAATGCAAATATTTAATTACACTGTCCAGTATAACACTTTATGTTATTATATTAATATTTATCTAGCAAAAACATAGCTAATGTACAGTACCTAACGAAAGAGACAAATAGGGTCCACTATAGTATATTTATACGGGACAGAAATAAAAAAAGTCGTGGTCGTCCATTAACTTCAAGTTCAAAGAATACTAAAAGAAGAATAAACCTTGCGTTTCTCAACTACATAATGAATCACGTCTCGACTCTAAGGGACATTCTCCTGTTCACAAGAAAATCTCAGAAAGAGGGGAAGTGCAAATTGTGGTATCAAGAAAATTACAATTATCTGTAATACATTTAATTAAGAGGAAGTTTGCCTACGTTCATTCAAATTTTAGATATCTAAACCTAAATTTGATCATTTTCTACCACCGTTAGAAATCAATTTATTAGAGGAAATACAAACTAATCACATTACGTCGTTGATATATAAAATACGAAAATATATCGCTTTGTAAGTTGTAAATCTACCAGCTGTGTAATCTCAATGATGCATAAATCTTCTCAAAAATAGATTTTACTACGTAACAAATCAACTGTTGCATTTCCAACCCTAAAAGTCGACCACAAATCACGATATCATAGCAAACGTTAAAAATAGGTGCAATAAATGATTCTATTGTATTAATCCCAACTGTTTATCTACGTGATTGTTCCTTCAGTCTTCGTTACGAAAGTTAATTAAAATTAAACCCCATTCACAGGTACTCTTTTGCAAAAAAAGAATAAAAATATATGTCCCCTGGCAATTAATAAATCAATCTAGTCTGTAACCCACAAAACACTCTATCTCACACCTACAATTTTCTAGCATAGTTCAATGCGTCGATCGTGAAAAATCGTTTCGATAATTACCGTACGAGATTCGTGACAAGTATGCAGTTTCGCAATCCGGAAGTCGAAAGATCGGTTACGTGGCACGTGACTTCGCACGCCAGTGGGTCACCGCATCTCGTCGAGCCATTAATGAAATTTATAACGAACTTCATTGAATTACCTTGGCCCTCACGTGCTGATATCGAGGGGCTTTAACGATCCTCCTCCCTTCCTTTTAGTGGATTAAGGCTGATAAGGCGTAACTGATGCAGATAGATCGATTCATGATTGGTGGCTCAACCGCTGCTAATTGCTGCCGGACTAGCTCGGCAAATATGTTCTTGATGAATATCGCTGGAGCACTCTTCCCGCCGATAACATGACGGTTGCGTAAACATTCGAGCGTTGAATTTTTCACACCTGATCGAAACACGCCGTCTTCACAACCGAACATCGCACTTCATCGTGCCATTTACGTACGGAAATGAACATTCTTCTAACACGCCGTTTATCATCTGATCGACATGATACGCAAGGTGCAAAAGGAATTCGTTTCCACGTAACGAGACTTTTAATTTAAATGAGGATCTTCGTCGAGAAAAAAAGGAAGACACAACTGGCTAAACACTAGAAAGCAGCTAACATTCGGCCTCGCACTTTTATAGGTCACCGTTCCTGGATCGTTCTTGCATTACAGACGATGGATATTAAACTTAAAAATCGTCGTGCGATCTTTCGTCACTTTGCACATCATTCTACCGTTCAACTCATCACCCAAACGTTAAAAGTGTTTCGAAACTTTTGAGACGCTCGAATTCGTTCCACGATGCAAAGGATTGTTAAAAGATGCTTTGACACGTTGATCCTAAATAAATTTCGACGTGTACTCTTGCGATGGAATATTTAAAGACTCGTGTTGGAGCCTCGTGGGAAGCGTTTCGTAACATCGATTGAAACGTGTGTGATTTAATTACAAAAGAATATTGTCGAGAAAGTATACGAAGCTCGAGAATCCACGTGTTCGAGGAGCATCGAGTTTAAAATTGATTACAGATTGAAACTAAAACTGCATCCGATCTCGTGTTGACAAAGTCTCCGAAGGCTACATCACTTGAACTGATCTGTCGATCGTTTCGACGTTTCATCGCGTTCTCGGGCGTGCTGAGACTATCGTCGTGATCGAATCACGATATCCCGGAAGCGAGATTTTCGATTTACTTGTATCGTAACCGGTACGCGTACACGATGTACCTTGAGGACCGTAAGATAGGTACGCAACCGGCGGTGGATGCGGCACGACTGTGCGGATCGCAGAAACAGAGACGAAGAAGTATCGCCTTCGAATTTACCCGAAATAGGGATGCGGGATTATTCTTGGAGACGGGGTGCAAGTGGCATCTAGCACCCTTCCTAGAGCTCGACGATCTTATCGATCTGTTCCCTCAGCCGATAACACGAAGACGCGACTACACCTACGAATAGTAAAACCACAGACGAGATAGATCTCTTTCTTGGATAACAATTACAAATTTCAAAAGGTACAAGTTTCTATTTAAGATGAAAAATTTGCTAAATTTTACTAACTCCTGCACTTGCAAACATTTAAAGCACCCTTTATTATTATTGCTGAACATCTTCATGTTGTAATTAGACAAATTTATTGCACGTTTACCTTCTATAGATATTTCAAACTGACATAGCTATCCTAGGACGAATACTTGCAATTTGTGATTCCCTATATGAGTATACCTAATCTGTGTCTCTATTAAGTTTCTGAAATGATATGTGTGGCTATACTGTCGAGTTCTCTACATTTATCGACTTTGGATGCTGAGCTATACATGTCAGAGTCACTATTCTTAAACGTAGAGTGCACTGAAAAACCAATGCTTTTTTACTAGATCGATAACACAGTATATAACCACAGACGAGGTAGGCAAGGTAGACCTTTCACCTTATGGACTTTCGTGGTCCAATCTGACTGTCATACCGACCTGAAAATTTGGAGGTGATTTTAGCGTCTTCTTCACATGGATGACGGTCAGTTGAGAAACTATTCACTGAATTAGTATTGATGTGAATTGACTATGGAAGAGATTAAAATTCATTTCTGAATTTGTTGGTAACGTTGCGAATGACACGAAAATGGTAATGGGGGGTTTCGAGAATAAAAATAGGCCGAAAAAATACATTGGATGAAGGATCTACTTCTATACCTCGTCTCTGACAATACTCTAGGATCTTTGATGAATCAATGAGAATCAAAACTAGCCTAGTGAAGAAGCTCTATATTTATGATGACCTATGCAAGGCGGATCGCAGCCAATTTGCTAATATTATTCAGTTTTTAATTAATAATTGCATTACCCCAGCTAAGAGTGATACGATTATTAATTAAACTCTAAATGATATTACCCAGGTCTCACCACGTGGAGGTTGCTGCGAATGGAGACCCGCCCTAACCGATTCCCAACCACCCTCCATTAATTTATATTATTTATAAAGATATTCGATTATATGATCTATAAAGATCTTTTGTGACCAGCGATCGTTGGTCGAAGAAGCAATAAATGAAAGTGCAACCAACGAAGGAAACAACCAACAAAGGAAACAACCAACGAAAGAGTTTTTCGAGAAAGAATTTGCCTGTAAATTCTCATGAATAAAACAGAGAAATAGACCAAAATATTGCCTGATGTTACATTCTACCTAACTATAAATTTAAATTATTAAAACATAAACTAAAAAATCTGAAACAAAATACATGATATACATTCTTCTTTCTTCTATCTTCTATTTATCCCACGATGATTTTCTGAAACACAAACAAAGCAGTATCAAATAAAATTGTAACAATTCTTAATTATTACTTTTATATACCTGAAACTTCCATAGGAATGTGCTCTGTAACAGAAACTTGTTTAATAGATTAGTAAGAGAACAAACAAAAATTTGACACATGCAAGAACTATATACCCAACACCGAATCTATAAAACTACAAATACTGCAACTACAGGCAAGTGCAGTGAGAAAGTAAAAATAGTACATAATATAGGTTACTTTGACTCTAAACTGTATTCGTCGCGAAATATCTTCTTGCACATAAATCTAATGATATATTTTAACAAGTAAAGAAAGACTTTGGGTATGTTCGATATCGAAGATACCCAAAGTCGTCAACTAAATTATGAAAGTGAATTTAATTATTGAAGAATGTAGAGAACAACGAACATCGGAAGCTACTAATTTGACACTCATTCTAAAATTAATATAATTATAAGTATTATAATAGATATTAAAATCATGACTCTACTTTCGATTGATATTACGATATTTGTCATATTAAAAATTGCGGCGTGTAAAGACATCGCACGCTTAAATAAAACGCGACGCGACACGTGCTCATAAGCGTGCAGTGAGTGTGGGTATCAGATTGATCCCCCCCGGCCTTGATTATCAGAAAAGCAAGTCGCGCCCCTGACCCACGTCGATCGGACCTCTCTACGTACAACCGCCGGGCCCTGGAGGACACACGGTCACAACAGGACCCGCTTAGTACTCGAGAACGGATATGGGTCAGGGACTCTCGCCGGAGGTCATTCTCTTTTCCGTATAAAGAGGAGAATATATGCGCTCGGCGAGGCCCCACTTAAGCTGAACCAAGCTGCACCGGGGTTGAAGCGGTAAGAGCTATCACACCTAATACACAGGTGTCACATGTTTCATTCAATCAAACAGAGGTGATCGAGCAAAAAACTCTCCGATCCTTTCGGTCGAGACATAATCTCGGAAAGCGAGAACCAGAGAACAAGCGAACGAGAGAAAGTGATGCTACTCATGTATGTTGTATGTACTCATTATATATTCATTTTAAAATGAGTGTCAAATTAAAAATAATTGAATCTACTGTGACATTTGTCATCTTAAAAATCGCGGTGTGCAAGAAGATTATATAATTTTAAGCAAAATGTACTAACTACACTTGCCAAAGACAGCACGTATACTACCAGTCGAACCTTAACCCCATGCCTTACGATTTAATTTACATTTGTGCGTGCCAAAAGCGACCCCAAGGTTTGGCCCGGTAGACTTATCACGTTTCTGGGATGCCTTATTCATGTTTGGCCCGGTAGATAGACACTAGCAAAATGTTACAAGAATGTAAACTGAAACATAAAAATAAAAATCTTATATTAATCAGTGTCATTGAAACAAATAAGGTATACGCATCGACACCATGTTCTGCATATCAAATTCGTAATTGTAATGGAAGAAACTTGGATCGAGACACCAAGTTGAATCAACACCAAATAATCAAACGAAATTGAAGAATCAAACAAAGTACCTCCGTAGAATGTTACGAGAATTCGCGCAACAACGCAAAAATAAAAATTCATTCGTAATAACCAAATAAAATCAGATAGATAGATAAAGTTGAATTCGCATCAAACAAGCAAATAAAAATAATAAAATATAAATAAGTGGAGTGGACTTACTACTTGTTGTCAGTACATAGGGTAGTTACCACTGGGCTATCTGTAAAGTAAGAAAATATTCATATTATAGCAACGTCAGTTGGACAAGCAAGGCAAAATCAGTTCATTGAAGCAAAATTGGCATCAAACGATAGAATAGAGGAGGGGAGAGAATATTTAAACAGTTCTTACCGCGGCCCATCACCGTCCGGCACTGGTCAGTAGTGGTCAGCAGTGGTCAGCAGTGGTCAGTAGTGGTAGGAGCACGAATCAGAACTGGTCAGTAGTGGTCAGTACTGGTCAGTATCGGTCAGCCCTGGTCAGCCCTGGTCAGCCATGGTCAGCCATGGTCAGCCATGGTCGGCAGCGGCCAGCGGAGGTCAGCAGCGGTCCCCAGTTGACTTCAGGCGATTTGTACACTCCCGAATTCGCGACGCGACTGAAGAATTCCTCGCAGTGACCCTGCTTATATGACTAAGGTGATGAAAGAGTGGGGAGACCAGTCAGAGCCACAGTTGAAGTTAACAGGTAAGACTGTCTTGTCTACAAGGGAACTATTTCGATTGGTCCCAGCTCTTGACCGTTTCTGGATCTTCACTGGACCGCTGACCTTGATGCCAACCTCACTGTTGACCACCAGTGACCATAAGCTAGTCATTGTTGAGTATCGACCCATTAAAACCATTACGAAGATTAAAGCCTTCTTACGAGGATCGCCTTATAATTTGATGCATGATCTTTTTAACATTTTGTTCCACTTTGGAAGAGTGTATCTCGTTAATTTTTGTCTTTTTATAGATCAGTTCGAACAATTGCCATGCTGAGCGAAAAATTCGGAGGTGATTTTAACGTCCTCTTCTCATGGATGGCGGTCAGTTGAGAACTGATGAACTATGGAAAGGATTAAAATTCACTTCTGAATCTATTGGTAACGAGATTGGTTTCGAGACCATATAAAAATGGGCCGCAAAAATACATTGGATGAAGGATCTACTTCTATACCTCATCTTTGACAATTCTCTAGAATCTTTGATGACCCAAAGAGAATCAAAACTAAACTAGCGAAGAAGCTCTATATCTATGATGACCTATGCAAGGCGGATCGCAGCCAATTTGCTAATAGTATTTAGTTTTTAATTAATAATTGCATTACCCAGCTAAAAGTGATACGATTATTAATTAAACGCTAAATAATATTACCCAGGTCTCACCACGTGGAGGTTGCTGCGAATGGAGACCCTCCCTAACGGATTCCCAACCACCCTCCATTAGTAAAGATCTATTATGATCAGTGATCGTTGGTCGAAGAAGAAACAAACGAAAGTGCAACCAGTGAAAGATGCACAACCAACGAAGAGAGTTGAAAGAGTTTTTTGTAGTTGTTAATAAGGTATATCCTTAAGTATTTTAATAATCTTAATCGATTGGTTACTCCAATGAAATTAATCAATTGATACTCAATTCTGGACCATACAGCTTTCATTCCGTTAAAAAATACTAAAATTTCTGTAATTTAATAGTCTGTCTCACTTCCTCTTGTGTTCATTTCTAAATCTATTGATAATTCACTGTATATCTATATCAAGAGAACATATACGCCCAAGTTTGTCGTGGAATAGTTCGTATCGTCGACGCTAGATGGATTTCTCGACAAGCTTGGGCGTTTTAGCACCAGAGGGCCAGAGGTCGGAAAATGAGCGCCATCTAGCGTTGAAGGTAACGAACTATTCCACGACAAACTTGGGCGTTTTAGCACCAGAGGGTTTGTGGTCGGAAAAATGAGCGCCATCTAGCGTTCAAAATAACGAACTATTCGTTAAATTATATTAAATTGGGTAGGGTAGTGCTCAATTAAGTGTCCGCGCTCGGGATAAGGGGCAAACTAAACGGACAATTAAGTGGGCATAAATGCAGCCACTTATGTGGACACTACTGCAATTATTATAATAATAAGAAGCTTTAGACACTGTTTATTAATTAAATTCACGTACATATAGTCTAAAATTTATGTGTACTATGCTTGAAACCGTGGATTTGTTCAAAAAAACGTAAAAACTAGGAATATGTATAGCAGTGTCAAAGAGGAAGGTTGACGAGGTCTTCTGAGAGGAATAGGACTGTTTCTAAACAAGTTTAGACCTTTGGCGTTAATTGTGAAGCATTTATAAGTAATCTAAATTACAGAGTACTCTATTGTTATATGGTAACGGGGCAGGGAAAAATTTCAGTGAAACATATGAACGGTATGGTCAGACATTATATTTCCAATAAAGAATTTTTTTCTCGAAAGTGGGTAAGATTTCGGGGGTGTGTCTGTTGACCAAAAATGATTGTACTGGATCCCCGCAACCGAAAATAATTTTTTCAGAACGATTTGAAATACAAATTTTCCTTCAACAATTTCTCTTTTACAATATCCTGTTCGCTCGTTAATCAACGCTACATAACAGTGTTCGTTCCACTATAAGTTTATTTCGCTATTTTTACACATAATTAAAACTCAAAAAGGAAGCTACAAAACATTGCAATAAAGTTACAACAAACTGTAAGACGTATAACGTTAAACTCATATAATGTATATCACAAGCTCTAGTAAACAATTTCTTTTAACAATTATGTGTTAGTATTGCTATATATGGCGACTAATAGAAGAAAACAAGAGAGAATAATAATTAGTCAAACATGTAATAACTGATAGATTATCATAAAAATTTCCTAATTATTGCCTCAACTGAATTAATAATGTCTGCCACTAACTCTATCCATAATTGCCTGAGATAAAACTTTACCAGCCAGATCTTTAGCAAAATTGGTTATTTGATCACCGACATTGGGCTTCCTAGTGGTAGGTTGGTAATATCCTCCTTGTGGATATCCTTGTGGATACCCTTGTGGATATCCTTGCGGATAACCTTGTGGATAACCTTGTGGATACCCTTGAGGATAACCTTGCGGATAACCTTGAGGATAACCCTGTGGGTATCCCTGAGGGTAACTTCCTTGAGAGTATCCCTGTGGGTAACCCTGAGGATACTGACCACCGTAATTGGTTTGACTTGGATAACCACTTCCAGTCTGTGACGGGTATCCACTGCTTTGAGAAGGATAACCACTTCGAGATGATTGACTTGGGTATCCAGCATCAACCGTTTTGGTGTTCACTCGTTGAACAGTGCCCTCACTGTCCGGGTTACCAGGATAACTCGACGGATATCCGCGAGAATTTGTAGAGGGATAACCGGGGTAGCCACTTGAGCTTGAAGGATAACCAGATCCTGACGGATATGCGGACTGTGTTGGATAACCAGAGCTTCTTGAGGGGTACCCAGACTCTGAGGGATATCCAGAGCTACTTCTCGATGGGTATCCGCTTCCTGCTGGATAACCAGAACTCCTTGAAGGATAACCGGATGAACCGCTGGAGGGATAACCCGAACTGGAAGGATAACCAGAGCTACTTCTGGATGGATAACCGGATGAACTGTCTTCGGGTCTCGATTGGCTTTGAGAGGATGGATAAGAGCTTTTTGACGAGTCGGGGTATCCACCTGCAGACGGGTATCCTGACTTTGTCGATTGCGGATCGGATGATTCGGGTAACAGGGATTGCACGTCGCTGTTGCTCTGTCGTTTAGCGACTACCATGTTGTTCCCATCATTGAACTCTGCGAACAATTCGTTATCTACCTCCTAATTGTTTGGAAAGCTCATAGTTTGGGCTCCACCCCATGCCATGCCGAGTCCAACTCATTTCTTACCACGTACCATGTGTTTCGCGTACATTAATTTCTTCCCATAGCAGCTAAATGCTTCAAGCTATGTTGACGCAACTGTGTGGATTATTGCTAATGTCCTGATAATTTGATTACCACAATTAGTGTGTTATTGAGGCACTTATATGATACAATTGTTCTGGCAAAATATTGTCTTTGTTATTAATATGATAGAATTCTCATTGACCTTTGCTGCTCGAAAAAGGCGTGCTATGTAGCAAATTATAATTTAATCATGCAATCTCATATTTCTATGTTTATTTTAGTTAACATTAAAGTGGTGTTTGATGATGGACTGTTTTAATTAAATGTTCATGTTCTATGTATGTGTAATTTTACTTTTGTTGAATCATTTGTTGGAATCTAACGAATTACTAGAAACACAATTAAAATGTTGAGGATTGGATATATTTAATGTGTATATACGTTACATGTAAAATCATTTTTAAGTACTCGTTAAGTACAACGTACGTAATACATCTACATTTAATAATAATGTTATAAAAACGTATTAGATAATTGTATGGCACTAGTAAGGAAGAACCCACAGTTATCGATGGATGAATAAGACATTTGTAAAATTCAATCTAAACTAAATAAAACCCATATGTAATAGTCATTTCAGAATCATATCGTGAAGATGGAGGATTAGCAGAGCTTGTTCCTGATTGTACAGTTTACCTTCTATAGTTTGTTATTTCAGGATAACTGTAGTTTCCAAACCATACAATAAAACCTGGTACCAAGGTTAAAAGTTATATATAAGGTAAAGAGCTTATAAAATTAACGACGTTCCATTGGTCAACCGGAAAATGTCCAGATTCTATTTCCTTGACTATCGACGGATGTATGGGTATCATAGTAACCGTTACCACCACGTGGTGGTGACCGACTCCTAGGAGTGGTCACACCACGCGATCCATAGTTACGATCATTCCCGAACAAACGATCGTAAATGGAATTGTCACCAATGGTGTTTCTTGATCCCGCGTTACCGCTGACTCTTCCCCCAAATCCGTTCGATCTTGGCGGCGGAGGGGGTGGTGTTACTGGTCTGACTCGTCCTGGTCTTCCAGTAGGATATACTGTCAAATTGGAGAGTGGTAGTCAAAAATTAACATATCAACAAACGCGAAATACACTTAACGCGACGTAAGAGATTTTGTTTCGAGAGTTTACATTTACATCGTAAGAAAATAATTAAATACGCCTATGAAAATTGCGATCTATCGATCGATTAAGTTTTGATCAGAATGTGGATTAAAATTAAAAATTATTAAACTAACAACTGGTTAATTGGTATTACGTGTTAATATCGTACTACGAATATTTTAATTACTCTTTTTAAGCATGCAACGTGACTGATGTTAGTTTTCACGTAGATATTCCCTGCAAGGGTACTTCATGCGTTATATGCCTCCATTTTGAACTTCCACTCTTCAATTTGTATACCAATATGGCACACGACAGTTCTTATTATTAAAATCTTTATTTGTGAAATCTATAACCACGACACAATTAATGAATAGAAAGATTAACAGGGGATGACCTGTAAAGTACGTAGAGAGGTATTAATAAAAGCGTATTATTGCCGGGCTGAAATATAAAAGAGATATTAAGGAAATGCGATTTAAAAACCGTTTAGAAAAATGCAGGGAACGTTCACAGCAAAACAACTTTGCTCGTCGCTTAACAGCTATGACCTACAAATTTCATCATTCTACGTTGCTCGCTGCAGTAGATAAGAAGTGTCAGGGTTCGATGTGATAACGAGATCACTGGACGTTTGGCGACAACGCCTTTAAGAAGTGAAAAGCTTGTTTCGAGCCTATTCGAGGCAGATATAATGTGAACAAATCACCTGTAAATTAGTAGAAATAATATTATCTTTATTCCAAGTTAACAATTTATAATAACAATTATAAATTACCATTACATATATACAATTATATATTGACAATTAAAAGTCGTCGCATATACATATAGGGTGTCCAGACAACCCTGGGAAAAATTTTAATGGGGGATTCTAGAGGCCACAATAAAGCGAAAATCAAGAATACTAATTTATTAATGGAGGCTTTGTTAAAAGGTTATTAACGTTTAAAGTTCCACCTGTATTGAATTTTTTTATCGAAAATGCGCAGGATTTCGGGGGTAGGTCTATTCACCAAAAATTATTATAATTAATCCCCACAACTGAAAATAATTTTTTTAGAACGATTTGAAATTTTTTTTTTCGTCGAAAAATTTCACCTTCTCGAATTTTTTTCTCGAAAGTATGTAGCATTTCGGGGATATGTGTAATGACTAAAAATAATTGTAATTGATCCCCGCAACCGAAAATAATTTTTTTAGAACGATTTGAAATTTTTTTTTCCTGTCGAAAAATTTCACATTCTCGAATTTTTTTCTCGAAATTACGTAGGATTTCGGGGATATGTATAATGACCAAAAATGATTGCAACTGACCCCCGCAACCGAAAATAATTTTTCCAGAACGATTTGAAATTTTTGAATTTAATTGTTAATAACTTTTCAACGAAGCCTCCATCAACAAATTGGTATTCTTGATTTTCGTCTTATTTTGGCCTCCAGAATTCCACTAAAATTTTTCCCCGGCGATGACCGAACCCCCTGTATATCAGTGCAGAAATAATTTTATAGTATTACATAAATAAATTCATATCCATGCATATAGATATATCGACGGCATTAATGCTAGGAAAAATCATTTCCCGGACGGCAATAAATGTTTCGTTCATATCGAAAACATGTTATCGATACGTAACTGTGCACCAGCTAAAATAGAGCATAAAAACATGGCTCTCTTCGTTCAATCGAATAAATATAAGGCTAACAAGTTTTCCCTCCATTAAACCCGCGATATCAGGTACTAAGTTAATCAGTATGTTAGTATCTTTCTGCTTGAGATATTTTCTTAGTACTAACTTCGTGTACTTCAAAAAACTTCGTCGCGACTTCGCGGACTTCTCAATCTATCGAAACGTCAATAATATTCGTGCTAAACGTTTACAAAGTAATCGTAAAACAATAAATTGAACAGGCGTATTAAAATAATTTAAGCTCGATTTGAAACAATTTAGCCGAAATTTCTAATTTTGTCTCAAAGAGATTCTAACTCTGCGTTGTTTGAGCGCGCAGTTAATCCGTAAAACGATTTATTTACATTTGGAAAAAGCATCTATCTAATCGCAGTTGTATCGTCTCACGAGTATCAGTTTAAAAAGTTTAGCTTCTAGCCATTTTCATAATTCGAAAATTTTTTCTTAATAACTTTTAAGCTGTTCAAAATTTGCTGTCGAAGTTTGTCGTTTGTAGTATCATCAAGTAATGATAAAGTGAATCGATAAAGAGTATACTATTAAGTAGAAGAAGCTTCTACCTCAAACAGCACGATTATAATCAGTCGAATGTATACCAACGCTAATCAACGTTTTAGAAGATCTTATTTTCTGTGACTGATTAATGTAGACACAGTTTCTATTGTCGTTAATTGTAAATGCATTCTGCGAAGGCAAGTGATGTGCTGCGGGGCGTATTATTGGAAGACACGTAATAAATTAAGTAAATATAATCATAATTTTAATAATGAAAAATAGTTAAAAAAAAGGTAAATAACCCATCCATATTTCAGATGCCAAAACCAGTGATTAGAATATTATATTCTCAAATAAGAGAACACAAAAATCTCTAATAACATTATCGTTTACACAATTTATAAAATTAATGGAAAATAATTGTTCTCGCGTCAGTATCTTAATATTAATGAGTATATCGACATCTGAAAAAAAATATAACTAATTCGACGAACCCCGTCATTTTACGCCTTAATCGTATCACTCCCTCCCAACCAGTATATCTTTAGACAAAGAGTATCAAAAATACATTAGTGGAAACGAAACGTGTTAAATCAATCTACTACAAAGTTAAAAATCTACATCAATGTGTGCTACTGGAACTGATAAATCCATTACTTGATAACGTGGCTTCGAGTATCCTGCATTCAGCGGCGAAACAAGACGAAAAATTTATAATCTAGCTTCGTTTCATTGTGCACATATAAACATGCAAGGATATTACTAAAATTACTATGCTTCGAGGTTGCTCAGAGATTAACATGTGACAAAGAGTCTATTCGTGCAATGTCCATTGTTCGAACGTGTCGAATGACAAAAAAAAATTAATGAAAAATCGAAGGCACTTGGAATCACGACTTATTGGCGACAAGCATAACGAGGCTCGTCAGACAAATGGTAATCAGAGACGCGGACTGTACGACGGCGTTGTTCCTGCGGTAAATCGAGTACGCGTTATCGTGATGCATGCGATTCTGATTAGGATAATTCGCGTAAGGATAATTCTGCTGTCCAGGATATTGTTGTGGATATCCTGGCGCAGCTGGGTATCCTGGCACGGCTGGATATGCACCAGGTTGCCCCGAGTGCGAAGGATAGTTCTGTGGAGGATACACAGGCATAGGCATCCTGTTGTGCGTCGGGTACGGCGGATATCCTAAGTCCTGTTGCCGATGTCCGTTGTTCGACGAAGGATAAGGCGGATATCCGCTGTTAGAGCCGGTGTTGGACCCGGTGTTACTCGGGTACGCTGGATAACCCAAATTGTTCCCGGAATTCACTGGACGATATCCTCCCGCAGGATCAGCAGGAGCGGGGGGTGCATTAGCATTCGCATAAGGGTTCGAATTGCTGGCACTATTGCTGGTCTTATCGTCGGGTTTGGTACGCTGTCCATTCACGTAAGAAACGCCCGCCGATTCGTATCCTGAAAAGATTCCCCTCTTCTACGTCCACTTTTTGTTTTTTCTCGGTCACAACTCGCATAGCGGAAAGGATCACAACGAAACAGAAACCAGAAGAAAGAAAAATATGCGGGGGAAACTTAACACCAATTTTATTCTAAAAATGGAGGATCTCTTTTACAACTACTTTCCCGAGAAATCATTAGTAAATATATTTTTAGGATAGGTAGTTTTAGTCACCATTGATCAACTCGATCGGAATCAAATCTGAAAGATTTTTGCGGCGATAAGCGTGAACTAACCGTAAAACTATTAATCTATCATATTAGAAAATCATTTATAATTCGTATGATTAGTTACTTAAAGACCTGTTAATCTTTCATTGAGAAAATCAGACTGTTTCTTTCGAGTATACCTTTCTCTGCCATTTAATTCTACATGCTAACACACTTTCATTGAACCTTTTTTTTCTATCTACCTAAACACCTAACCCCACTTCTCACTTTTTCTTTCTAAGCCCCTACCCTTTGCTATTTCCTACAACATCAGTACTCTCTACTTACCAACACCCTTCTTCACTTTCCTCGACCTCTTTCTACCTACACGAGCACCCTACAACTCGTGGCTAGCTATTCTCCTGATTCGCGACGAAACCTAGTTCCCTTGATCATTGAAATATAAACATTAATTCTATACGATTATCAACATCTATATCCAGAGATTAAAATGAAGGGGAGTGATTTTTATTGAAAATTTAAACAATTTTCATCGCTCGTTCGAATACTAGGTAGTTGTAATAAGATCAGAAACATTAATTATAATTTTTGTTCGCACCTACGACCGCAAAAATCTTTCGAAGTAATTAAGAATCACGTCGGACGATGACTTTTGAGGAGACAGAGAGCAATAAGGGAGCAAAACGATATAGACAAATCATAGAGCGACTGGTTGATTTTTACCCCGATATCGCTATACAGGTACTGACTAAAAACCTTTCACGGAAAATTGAAAATTTTTAAGTGACACGTTTTAGTGGAGTTAGTTTAATGGAAGTGCTATGAGAAGTTCTGAAAGTGAACAGTTATTTCCGCCTTGTGTTTCATATGCAAAAATCATTGAAAAGCGTGAACGTGAACGCAAAGAAACCCATGCTGCATGCAATTATGTTATTTAAAATACCGCGAAAGAAATAAGAAACGTTTCGTACAATGTATCTAAAAGTTTTTAGATTTAAAAGTACTTCAAATTAAAGAACATTTATTCTGCCTTGATAAACTGAAAATAAAAAATAGTGCGTTGCATTTATTCACTCTTATCGTTACATTATTCGGAATCAATTTATATCCTTTATACAAATTTGAAGTAGTTAAATTAACAAATGTTAAAAGTCATGTTCCTGATAAGGAACTTTTTGATTCCAAAGTGTGTGCTAACAGAAATTTAATCCTTAATAGGCATAAAAAGAACTCCTCCAACGTCAATTTCGCTTCCTAGAGCAATACACTTTTTCCTTTATATCGGCGGGATGCTAAAAGTTTATACGTTCGAGAGCAATTTCTCCCAAATCCTATAACACTACGTGAGTATACGCGTAGTTACACGTATGTGTGCTGAGGGAGACGATAATGGAAAGGTCGTGTTCGAAAAAGTTGGGCAGAGAAAAAATCTGCTGTACAGGCTCTTGGGGCACCCGAGACTTCACATTACAGACCGCTGTACATCTAACAGTATGCCTCCAAATTACAAAATAATACTCCGATCCATGTTTGTTATTAAAATCTATACTGTTCAGAAATTCTCCTCTATTAAAAAATAGACTGAATAATTATTACACTATCGTAAAATTTGATTCAGAAAAATTCATTGAATTTTACATGATAACATGTATAACTCAAATCGTGTTTAACTCCTTTACACACGAAATTGAAGTAGAAAATTTGCAATTTAAATATCTCAATCGTTACAGAAAATCACACTAATGCATTGAATATTAAAATAATAAGAAAATAATTAAAAACAGAAAATATACAGCATTCAAAAGCGAAGCAAAAAGCCTTTTATCTAAAACTACAAAATCGTTCGAATAGATTTCGTAATTTCTTATCACACGTATGAAATTACAAATTAGATAACTATTTTGCGATACGTTGATCATAATACGTGTATTCGTTTCTACACCAAATATCGAAAATTATATTTGGTTACAGTAAGTCATAAGCAATTGAAATCGATCGGTAATATATCTATTCCGCGCGTATGAAAATTATTAAACAGCCGAATATCGAATACTTGTCACTAAAATTTCGGGCAACGTGCATTGGCAACTCATTTGAAGCATGCACAGTAATTTCGGTCACTATTGTACGATCCTTTCAATCGTATGAATCAGTTCTATGCATTTTGCTCGTTGACACTCAGCCATGCACTTCAATTTTCGTGCTGGTCGAACACATGCACGCACAATCGACCGCAATGCCACCAAATAGGACACATAAGGATTGAAAAAACTCACCGATTCCGGTCGATTTCTTCACGCATGCCGGCATACCATTTTCGGTTTTGCAGTATTCATTTTCACCGCAAACTGTACTCGCACAGCTGGCCTCTGTAAATCAAATGCATCGATTGTACGGTCAGGGACATTCTTAGAAAGTTGTTTTTTTTCATTTTTTGAGAGATTACTGGAATAAAAAATATTGAACTAAATGAGAGACATAGTATAGCGTTCTATTAACGCGACAAAGAAACGAAATAACCACCATTATTACTATTTGAAATCGATACACGAGTCAAGGAGACTGAAAAACCGGATAAATGAGAAAACTGTGTCAACCAATCGATGGTTAATGTTTCACTTCCTTAAACTATATACTTTTCGCATAAATGATTCCCCTGCACTTTCCAATGTTCAATAAATAAAGATACGATCAGGGCGAAACCAAACAAAATGATTTGAATGATAATAAATTTGAAAAGTTAATGTTAACCGATGCATACGTGCTTAGACTAGAACGAAATTTGCTAAACACGAATTTAGGTGCTGACTGTGAATACTAATATATGCAATTAATCGCATTATTTCATTGTAATTAGTCCATTGCTGGCGAACGCGACGATTGATCTAATTTATTTTGCATTCGTTAATACGGTAACGCGTTATTTATTGGCATTATCGATCATAAAGCACATAATTTCATATGCGGTTAGTCGCCAACTTACGCACAATGGATTAACGTATTAATAAGCTCATAATTGATTGAAGGATTATGTAGCAATCAATAATTTATGCATTGAAAGGGGGAAGAAAATCATTTTCGTAATACAATGTTCTCATTATGATACAGAAAGTTGTAACTAACTGTTGATGTAACCTACATCTGGGTATATCAATAACCCCAATAATATATCGCGTTACAATGTAATTTACGATTATTATTGAGAAGTGTCTTTTCTAAATTATGAAGAAAAGCAATTTCCTCGATACAAAATAATATTTTTCATTGTCTCTGTTATGCAAGTAGTAATTTTGAACCTGAAGAATACATAAAAATAGTTATACACTTTAAGATTAAAAAATTAATTGAAAAGAAATTAATGGTATTAAAACTAGTTTCTTTGTCGAGTTCTGCCAATCGTTAATTTTATCAATTTTTAACAGACTGAAACTGTGCAATGTGGACGATAATAAAAAGGCCATTGTGCAGTTTCACAAAGGGTTTCAAGAAGTTTCTAAATTTCGAACGATAAATATTACGAATCCAAAGAAGATCGTCCGTCCTGAAACTGGCCAGACACCCATTAATTTCTTTTCGTATCGTACGTAGCGTCCATTCTTGATTGAAACGTCGCACGAAATATACTTATGGAAAGATCAATCGCATTCTTACCGCCTGGATGAGCTTTCGAGCAAGTCGGATAACGGCCGCAGTTATCTCGATCGTAGATCGAGCAAGGATCCTCGGCCATCACGCAGACCTCGTCCCTCCGGCAGCCGATGTCCTTGCAAGTCCTCCCATATTCTGTGGGCAAATAGCAACTCCTTGTGAGCTCTCGAGCAGTTGCGAAAGTTCAAGTAGCAAGCCATGATCTCGCGATTGGATACGGTTCGTTAAAACTTCGATTCCGCGGAAGAACGTGTCGTAAATGGAATTTATATCGAAACCACGCACGGTCGCTCTAAAGTGTATCATTTGGATATTTTAATTCCAGCGTCGGGAGCCGGGCGAGAGAACGATGCGTGCTCGAGCAAAGTGCTTTCGTTAAATATTTACACGATCGTGGTTTCGCGGCGGAGTTTTTAAAGTACACGCGAACATAGTTCCCTAACTTTTTTACGTCATTAACATTCCACAACGCGACATTCTGTTACATCAAAAACAAAAATAAGAATCCCGGAACTACCGTTTTCCAAGGGTTGAACTTAATTACTTTTCTTTTTCTAACGACCACGTTAATGATTCGAATTAAAGGATCGCGAGACTCGTCGACAGAAATGTTTTATTCAACTTGTGTCGAACTAGCATCGATATCAGTGTTAAGCTTTGCTCTCGCGTACATGTGTGCTCGGTTGACCATGTACCGTGAAACTATTAGGGGTAAGCATATTTACATTCAAGTAACTTCAAATCAATATTCTCCGTCGCCCAAAACTTCAGACAGAAGCTATGTAACTAAGTCTAACGTAATTAAATTTACGCGAACCTGTTGTTTAGTGGCTGACATGTAACTCTGTAGCGAGCCAAATACGATCCTTGACCGCAATTAGCGATCTCGGCTTAGTCGCGTCCTCAAATTGCGAATTAGAAGGTGTCTAATGTTACCAGAAAAGATGCAACGCTTACGGAACGTTCGAATACTCTAAACAAGAAATGCATTTTACGATAGTTCACTTTACTAAAGAATGAAGAGACAATTGGTGATTTTCACCCTAATTCTACTAGGATGTGGCTTTATATATTACTGAGTTAGGAAGTACGTAAATTATGAAACTTAAAAACAATAATTGTGATTCTAGAAAGATCGTTAAGTAAAATTGAACAGAAAATACAGACTGAACTTACTAAAAAAATTATACATGGCCTAAGATTAAATATTATTTAAAAATATATTATTTTTTGCGTGAAAGATTGTTTGAAAAACGACAATTCTGTCGCAAATGATTTGCTTCAAAATGAAAATTTCTTGCTACGAAAACGTGTTCTATTGTGCATCTACGTGATGTTATCCATCCGAGCCTCGCATTAGTGTAACGTCGCTAATCGTAATTCTATTCGAGCACCACAGTGTCATCCCCATATAACCCCATCGATTCTCAATTATCCAACCAACGAGGGAAGGAGAGAAAGCGACAGGGATAGGAGAGAGGAACAGAGAGAAGCAGCTGCCCAGTTAACGCCCTGGTTCGTGTTACTCGTAGCCACCTACGTGTGGAAGGGTACGAAGAAAAGGGAGGAAAAGGTGCGGTGAAGATGGGGAAATATTAAAACTAGGCTAACGATTCTCGCCCCAAACTGTCCTTATAGATTCATCGCGTTCGAGAACAAAAGAATAGAAAAGAACAAGTACAATGGCGACATTAAACGGACAAAGAAAAATATTCAGACGGTATACGATTCTGTATAATACTCGTCGACGTTGACAAACTTGGAGTATTACATGACGTAAATTAAACGGATACGGTGCCGTATAGATGGCTAAAATGTAAATCCATGGGCAAATTAGATTACTTAGAAAATTGTATATTAACCATGAATCCACTATCTCGTGTAAGAAGTTCGTGTCATTTACATGGTAATAGGTAATCTGTACATCAGGATTACATTAAACGGAGAACAGAATTGCTATGGCGACAGCCATATTCCATGGACGAAACCAGTTCGATTATTTGAACTTGAAATATTTTCTTCGCTTCAAACACAGAAGAGATGATGAAATGCACGGTAAAAGTAAATGCGTTTAACTGTTCATAAAGTCATACAATAAATTCGAAGTCAGTAAATTCCGGTCATATACAGGTATAAAGTTTTTTCAAACTTCACCAAGTATTTCGACAAAGAAATTGGATTAATGTGATTGTCAGAAGCATGATCTGCTTTTATATACTTATCGTTACCCAGGAAATGTAAATGGAGAGACAGTAACAACCATTTTTCTTCATTTTTGTTGTGATTATAAAATTCATACGCAATTATAAACATATTTTGTATTAATTTTGTACGATTAATTCCACGATTGTAATTAAGGTCAGAGAATTAATTACACGCAATGAATCAAGCATACCTAACCCAGTTTAATAATTTCACATGGATAATGCAGAACCTTCTCTACTTAATAAACAAATCAACCAAAGGAAATGCTCGAGGTATCAAAATATACATTTGAATTGATTTTTTTAATTACGCTATAATGATCGTGGTGGCATTGCGGGCATCACGAGCTATGCAATTTCAGGTTCTCTGCGATTAAAATCATCGTGATGTAACGGAAACATAAAATTCGAATGCCTATCGTTCGAGACATTCGCTTTACAAATATTTTATCTTCAAGAATACTTGAACATAAATTTTCTTAATTACTATTTCGTTCAGTAGTAATTAAAAAGTCACTGGTTGGTAAATTTGATTCCCATGATTTTTAGGCTGACTTCATCGGCTGTTTTATGATATGGTGATAAGCAAGAAATTAAGTTTTTTAAGTTTGATACACCAAGTTTGACGAGCTCGGATAATTATTCCCTGAAGTTTTGATTACATTTGAAACCTGCGAGTTTCTTCACGTTCAACGAATACCCACGTTTTTCCTCTCACAAAGGCTAGCTATCGATACCACCAGATCTATGTAGACTTAATACGATCCTCTAATTCTCTATGTTAAATTTACTAGACACTGGAATGTAAACCGTGATTAAGTCACTGAACTATCTGTACTTAGATTCTTATTTATTATTGAAAATATTTTAAAGATATTCTAAAGAGACCAAGCGTGAAACAGAAATTCAGACTCTTTCAAAATGTTGAACAGAAAGGTAGAAATTAAACTCCCGACAATTATCCACGGACAAAAGCCATGGAAAAGATTTACAGCGCGCAAAAGAGAAACAAAAACGGGGATAGGCAGTTTTATTGCTGTTGTACAAAACTGGCGAATAAATCGCACGATAGCACGAAAAGGGTGGAGAAATAATTGTTAACTCAGTGGAAGCGATTAACGAGATTCCTCTGCTGGTAAAGCGAATTTGAATACGTCTGAAAACGGTGTCTCTCTGCGGCCTTCAACAAACGCTGCTTGATTACATAAAACCGCTACTTAAAGGCAATTCTAACGTGAAAAACGAGATTTGCAAGAATTAAAAAAAATCCGTATCCCTATCATACAGCATTCACGCGAATCTAGGATCTATTTACAAAAAAAACTCTTTAATCTTATGTTCAAATTTACACGAATATTTCTGTGTACATCGAGATGAATATATTATTATAAAACAAAAAATTAATGGTTGATATATTTCAATGTACAGTACCTTTGGATCAAACTCAAATAATTATGATCGATTTGTCAATATAATTTTTATCACGGTTATGAAAGAATGCAACAAATAATAAACAAGTGTTACAAAGAGTCCCTGTCTCTCTTTGAGTTCTTCCTTTGAGTATTTCGGTTTCTGTCGCGGTTTCCTTTCCTCTGTTTAACAAGATTAGAAAGCGGAAGAGGACAAAGACGATGATTACGACGAAGGTCGATGTAATTATATCGATCGAGCCAGAGATTAAAACCGAGCATTTGTTTCCATTAAGTCCAATTAATCCTAATTAAACCAAGCGATAGTCTAGAGCTATATCATAGTCGAATCTGAATATTACATATTTTACATCATTGTAATATTAAAAACGTTAGCTTCACGATACTGTATAAAATGATCGGTGCACATATGCAAATTGTATTTTCGTAAAAATTTCTGAAATTCAAACCGATCGAATTTGTTTTAAACATAAACTACTGTTTCTTTACTTACTGGTGTAAGACGATGCATTCGGTATTAAAGAGATAACCAGTATCGTCCCCAAGAGAACACCCAGTGTAGAACTGGAAAACATTTTCTGGAACAAAACAATTTTCATTTTTATCTGCGCGTATGGTATGACTTTTCATTATTTTTTAAAGAAAGATATAGGTCGATATTTAAGAATTATAATATTGAAATCTTATTCAATTCGCAAATACCATTCCTGAGCTATATGATCTCTTAATAAGCTTAATATTATATTTTAAAGTTGTGACAATGCAGCAATTGCACTGCATAACAAGTTACTGATTCAGTGTCTCAATAGTTGATACACATGATGCAATAAGTGTCGTATGAAACAAGCATGCACTTTGGGATCAAGGAATATGTAATCTTTGATAAAGAAATGCAATAATAATCCACGCATACGCAGCAGAAAATAAAACTAATTACGACATTCGGAAATTCACAGTATCATAAATGAATTCATGATTATAATTGTATAATACATTAATTAATATATTATAGTAAATATCTCTAATTTATCAACAGCAATAAGACTCGTGACAATAAAATGAAATTAATAAACAAAATATTGTACTCGTTGAAAGATATAAATAAATACCAAATAAGAGATGCGGGAAACACTCGATTGCAATTCGTGACGTTCAACCAACAGTCAGAATTCACGTATCGATCGCGACATTACTATCTCGTGTTCGGGGAATATTCTCTACGACTTTCAATTTAAAAAAAACAACAAAACTAGGGGATATAAAGGTGGCAGAATATTTAAATTTGCGCGCCAATTTCGATAGCTATATAGCCGTGCGGTATCCTTTTCCGCGGTCGTCCTTGTCTTACTTGGATTTCCTAACCTCACTCGTCGGTTCTGCCCATGGAGCAATCGCGCCTACCAAATAAATGCGACACATTTACTCTTGATGGAACGTACTTGTGACCCAACTAAATTTCCGGTCGTTTAAATCGCTATCAGTCAGTAGCATTCATGGCATTGAAATTACGATGTTTCAATTGAACGACCTTGACAAGACCATATAGAAATGTCGAACTGCGTCGTTCGTCGCGACGCGTGGTAACGTTTTACTTTTACTCTGTTCTATGTGACTATTCACCAAGCATATTCTTAAATAAACTGCAGTAATGATAGTATGTTTACGTGCACTGTAAACTTACCTACGGAATTTCGCTCAACTAAGACGCAAAGACACCCACTCCACTACGTAGTCGGAACAATACTGAGCACTTGGTCAAATTCAGTCGTTACTGCCCTGACGTTGCCGTGAGCCAAAAAAAGATGGACGATGAAGTTGTGCGCGAAGGAAGGAGCGGGAGAACTGCCGGAAATAAGAAGAACGTGGCGCGAATATGACGTACAAAGAAGCAGAATACTGCATTAAATGCATATAACCTTTTTCTCAACCGTAAAAGAAGCAAAAATATTAATTTTCGGGGCAGAATTTATTTCCATTATCGAGTAAAACTTCGAAAACAACAGATTGACGAATGTTACGATTATTTTTATTACAATGACTGCTTTTATAAGCATTTTGTATTCTTCATAGAATAAAATACAAACAATATATCATTTACGCAATAAAATTATATGTACTGATATGAAAGTACTGTTTTTTATTAATAGATTACTTAAAATATTTTTTCGAAAGATATTATTATTAGATAGATATAATTATTTTCCTTTTATATTTTGTACTGTACGGAGGAATTTATTATAATATAAGGAAATGTTTATGACATATCCAAAGTATACGTTGAGTCATATAAACTCTGCATTGCAATTCTGTGATGTCACTCCTTATGACGTTACGCGATAGGAAAACGGAATTCTTCTGCCAGTCTACAGCAGTCTAAAAAATAGATTCAAGTTAATAACAATCATTTTGTTATGATGATTCTATAAACCATTTCTTTGAACTGTGGATCTATTCATTAAGAGCAAGCGTCTCTGATGCGGCAAAATTGTTATCGAATTATGAATCATGGGATTTATCCAATTCTTAGTAACGTGTATATATTTGTTTGTACATTAATCATTTTCTGGAAATTTTACATTTCGATTAAGAAATATTCGTTTGAACGCATTTTTACGGAAACACTTTGTAGTCAATGATCATTTTAGTTTCCGCATTCGTACGTTGATCTATCATACTGTCCTCGTGATTTCACACGGCTGCTTACAAAGAGAAACTTCATGGACGAGTGTTCGCAAACATCTCACGTGTCAGAACATGTTTGGCTGGACGAACGATCCTTGAGCACTCACTTATTCTTTCCCTTTTATGTTACGGAATGCCAAAAAATGTAGTACATGTTTGTACCTTATCGTCGCGAGATGAAAATAAGAAAATTCAGAACTCCATTGGACCGCTTAATACGTCGATAGTAGTATTACACCCGACGACACCTTTATTAATATTTCATAGTACAATTACGACAGGCAAACTTCTTAACTGGTAAAACGAAGAAGTTAAAGTTAAAACGCGCGGTTACGAGAGTTGTTAAGAAAACGATTAGTGAAGGTCGTCAAAGTTAATGAAATCAGATTAATGAGTGATTTTTTAAGCAATGAAACATGAAAACTTTCGCGGCTTTATCTTCGCGTCCACGGATAGTATACAAATTGCGGTTAACATTTTCTTGTAATAGGCAGTGAGAACTAAATTAACACAACTGCTAATGTTTCCTATATTATAAAAGACATTTCGCGTTCAAAAAATTATAAACGTTCTATATCGAGCAACCATTCGATTGCTCGCTCAGTTCCCAAAGTTGGCTCTCGAATTGCCGCAGTCACGTAACCGAGAAAACTCATCGACAGGGAGTTCCGTGAAATCCTCGCGTGTCGAAACATTTCATCCTCGTAGAAGGCCACCGTGCGTTAGCTTTCGGGGCTTTCGTGCTTTCAATGGAAGGATGTTCGATCTGGAGACTGCGCAAAGGTCTTGGTGGTTCGACATTCGGGATAGAAACCTCGGACGGAGGAAATCTGGGGGAAGTTTCGTAGAGACGCTTTTGCAGGATGAACGCTTGGTGATGGTTACTCTCACAGTCACGCGCACTGGGGTCATTTCCCCGCTCCTTTCTACACACCCACGCATACGACTAATATACATTTTCTCCGTCTTTTTCCGTTGTTTCCCCTCGGTGTTACATTTGCACGCTGCACACTCCCTGTTCTTCCGTCCAATCTATTCCATATCTCCAGTGCTCGCATCCTCTCCTGTGCTTGCATGGTTGCGTAAAAGTTATGAGTTTTCTCCACCCTTGGAACCTTCCTTCGGAAAAATTACCCAACGCTCGAAATTCCCATCGCTTCTTGATAGTGCTTTTCGCGCGTCTGAAACTTCATCGACTACGCGATACTCAAAATAACATTTCGCCTGCTTTTCCTGTTTCCTCTATGTCGCTTCGCGCTGCTATCAACTTTCAAGACGACATTGTCCCCCTTTGATCTTCTCCTCCGGCGTGTTCCATATCCCCGACATCGTTTCCCATTTGTCATCAAAGTAAACGCGCGCTGTATCTCCTCCCAAAAGTCTCGTCACTTTTTTTATTCCGGCACGTACGCTGTCATAATCGTCCCGGGCTCCCACGTGTCCTCGTAAAAATGACGTAAGCGCTCCTTGGACGTTTCCGTGCTTTATGGCTTCGAGTTCACCATTTTCAAGACGGTCCACGCGAACCATGCACGAACGAGGATTTTCTCTTCGATTCTGTCGGCGTTGCTCCCTCTTAGGAGGTATCATCGCGCTCCGGAGATTCCCTTATCCCCTGTGCTTCTTCCTCCCGATATCGGTGCGTTTCTCCCGCGTGACTGCGCGCGCGTCTCGCCGCGCTTTCGAGAGGGTGCTGCGCGGTCGACGGGCGTCGACCGGTAGTCGAATTCGTAACTTCCTCCAGGCAGGTACGTTCGCTCCTCCGCGCAACTACCACGGGCACTCTTTCCTCCGCGATCCTTTAAAAGATCCGATAGTACTGTCGGTCGAGGGTGGGGGGTGTGCACCCCGTTTTCTTCACGGCGTAGCTTTCAGTGTTGCTTCTCGGTACATGAGTTCGCGTTAACGATCGAGGAAGCGCGGTACTGCGAGTGTCGCAGCGCCGTGTGGACTCTGCTGCAGTCAGTGATCGTGGAGGGTGCTGAGAGCAAAGAGGTGAGAGAAAAGGGATGATCGTAGGTGCGCGCGCGAAAGAGCATCTCACGGCTCCTCGCGAAGAGAGCATTTCCTGGGGAAGGAACGGAGGGCCGTGTAGGGACGACGCAGGGACTCGTCGACGGGTTGCCTCAGGTATGTTCGAAGAACACTGCTTTCGTGCGACCAGCTGGCGAAGCTTCGATCGTCGATTGGTCGTGTCGATCTTTCCCCGGCCGTCTCCTTTCGTCGCTCGAGTTTTTTTCCCCCCTACGCTGCCTCGCTGCCCACGGTTTCTACCTTTCCCGTGCGCCCTTTTATTAACGGAAAGGTTAGAGTTACATCGGCCGACGCGTACCGGTGCACTTCTACTTGTTTTTAGTGGTTTGTTTTCTTACGAACATTTTCACCGCCGTACACACGCGCATGGCTCCAACGAACGCCGGCTGAATAAACACGACTTTGCGTTTAAACGTTCCGGGTTGACTTTAGCGTTTCGCAAATGGTGCTAAAGTGGATTTTGAATATTTCTTTTGTTCCGTCGCACGAACACCGCGGAACGTTACGTACGAGTGGCTCGTTTTTAATTGTTTACTTTCGGTTTTTCTTCCCCTGGCCGCAGTCAGGCATGGTTTCTCTTAAATTTTCAAGGGACAACTTTCCTACCTCCGGTTGCCGTTAAGGCACGCTAAATCAAATCGCTCGTGTCGATAATTTTAACGTGATATACGAGCCCCGTGATATACTGCAAATGGATTTTCGTCGAGGTATTTCAGTCGGTATTATCAGAACGTTACGTACTTTGAAAACTTGGCAATTGTTGAAGTTTCGTTTGCGATGCCACTCACAGGTGGTTCCTTATTCTTGCTTTTTTTTCTTTATTACAAATTTCTTTTTCCACGCTTTGTCGAGCAGAAAGAAACTTCTGACGTTTCAAAATTATTGCGTAGACGGCGTTATTTCTGGGATCAAAAAAATTAATGAATATGTAATAATTATATTTTCACCGAATAACTTGACTCTGCAGTTATTTTACATCTCATTTAAATCAAGCTACTATGCTTAAAGTGCGACAGTTAATTAAATATTATTCGCTTTCTGCACGGAATAAGTACTCGAAAGAGAAATGCGTAAAACAAGCGATCACATTTTTTAAAGTTTTATTCGCTCCAAAAGGAAACGTTTAACGAATCTTCAACTACGTTAATTATTCCAGAATATTCCATTTTCACTTTTAATTCTATTTTTTTTTCATTTAATTGATTATACATATTACAGACACAATTTTAATGTAACACATGGTAAATACAACGTTTAGAATTCGAGTATCTAGTCTCCATTTATTTAAAATGTACAAGATATGAAGAGAATACCTTCAATATAGAGAAAGTGTGTAAGTACCTTTGAAATCGCGTCCAATTTTGTTTAATTTTTTTCAATTTCAAACTTCGCATTAGACTCCCGCGTGTTTGTAATGATCTGCATTGTGTTCTCTGTTGAAACGCACAAACAGTTATAATCTCTTACTTGACGACATAATAGATTTCGTAAAAATGCCTAACGATTCCAATTATTACACACAAAACATTGCTACGGTTTGAAATTTTCACACGTAAATACAATTGTTCCTCTGAAACCATCAAAATATTTGTAAAAATCATTATCACGCTTCTACAGTTGAATTAAAACTTCGAATGAAAAGAAAACTTTAGCTTTTAATTTGTTTCAAACCGAAGCAATTTGTTTCCTACTTATGTATGCAATTATTTTTGTTTTTCGCGACACATTTATTGGCAATAACAGGTTCCATTTAGTTGCCACATTTTGCGTACTTCAGAGACGTTTAATTGCCACTGCAGTGCGCAAGAACTATTCGCTATAGAAGCAAAAAGGGACTGAGAATTTTTTGCGTAAAAACTTTCACCGCAATCAAAATGACATTTCGATTTCACACGATAACATTTAATTGATTGCCCGTGACAAAAAGAAGCGCTGCTGATATGAAATTGATGATTGAAAGTGCATAAAACCCAGTATAAGATTTTAATTAACATTAATAAATGTAAATGTAAAACAACGAGTAAGTAAAAGCACAAAATTGAAGTGAAATGAAATGAATGAGAATATTTTTGAAAGACTTTTTCATAAAAATTAAATTAAAGTAATGGCAAAAT